ATCGTTGTACTTAGTGATGACAGGCCATTGAGCGGTGTCGTCTTTTATATGTTATGTTTATGACAGATTCGAGATTCATTGACTGGCATTGACTGGTATGTCTTGATGAAGCAGATGATCAGTTGACATGTAGGACTGGATGCCACTGACACGTCATACTATAATATCTTGCCTTTGAGTCCTGCACTTGGCTAGGAAGCCAGCTGAACAGACTTGATTACATATGAGGACTTGGCAATGGTATGCACACTCTATATGCAACTTCAGCCATTCACGGATGCAGCATGCATTAATCAGCCCATCATAACAGAAGCACATCCTCGGTCTGATCCTGGGAATAGACATAAGTCTCCCTGTGTCCTGAGTCAGTTACAGTGTCAATCAGATTGATCCTGAATTCGAAGTTCATAGTACAGTCGCGGACAATCAGAGCTAACAAAAATGTTTGGCAACTTCCGTTGCCCCCAAAAACCATCGGAAGCGAGAGGGAATGTTTGAACGATATCCAACTTAACTGATTTTCACGAGCAGATCGTCCGCAAATTGGAATTTCGTGAGTTGAGTGAGTTGAGTGTCCAGAAATATGGCCGTACCCGTATATCTCACCCAAAAATCACGCTGTTGCGGCGAAATAAATGTTGCAAGCCTGACCTCTTAAGGCCTCAAGGCCTCAAGCATTACTCGGACAAATAACAGCCGCCAAGACAGCCACTCGATTCTTCCGTTGCTTGTTTATAGCTCATCAACGGCGCCTCGGTACGTGCGACTCGGGCCTTCATATCATATATAATGCATGGACCATTCATTGACTCCGCACAGGCAGGCGCACACTCCACTCGAGGAATATTGGGAAGTGTACGCAGTCGGATATCGGCGCGCACCGGCTTGGCCCGCACTGATTCCAGACGTAACTACCACGCTTCCTCTATCCACGACTCGACGCACCCACCGACCTCATATTCGCACACGCACCACCACAAGCCGCACACGCGCAACGCACCGCGCATTCGCGGACGTCCCTGCGTACGCGGCATGGGGCGGCCGCGGATGATGGAGCGCAGTCGCGCGGGTCAGAGGTCTTCCTTGCATGTCGCGGGCGAGATGAGCGCCCTCCACGTCCGGAACGCTCGCCTCCCGCCGAGCTTGCCCTGGTTGCCCACCTGTGGCGCGTAGTCAGCATTCTGTCCGTACCAAACACACATCGGCGCTTGTACCGCGCAGATGCCTCGAGGCGGTGCGAAAACACGAAGAGACGCATCAAGCGCATCGCGCAGAGGCGCAGAGGCGCATTGCCCAGACACCCATCAAGCGCATCGCGCCTCTCTCCCCGCACAACCAAAATCTGTGCGACGCGTCCGGCGTCGAGGCGGTGCGCTTCTTCGCATACGCGAGGGGATAGAACGAAGATACGAGAGAAGAACGCACCTCCAACGTAACCTGTGTCACCTCGACCGCGAGCGTCCTGAGGCGCAGCACCATCCCGTTCACCGTATTCTTGAGGTCGAGGATCTCGCCGTTCGCGGAGACCTGCGACGGAGGAGCGAGGGGGGAGGGTGGGAACGGAAGAGAGGTGAAGAGCGGAGTGAGCGTGTGGGAGAAGTGGGGGAGGGAGGGGGGGACGGGCAGGCAGTACTGCAGTGAAGCTCCGCAGCTCAAACACAAAGCACAAAAACGCACAGCTCAATCTGCTTACGTGCGGTGGCCGCGGCGCACATCCCCAACACCGCGGGCGTGTCGCACGCCGTGCGGTACGAGTCGGGCGTCCCCGGCGGGCTCACCTCCGTCGGCGCCCAACAAAAGTCAAAGTCAAAGTCCGCATCGACGGCGGCGGCGGCAGGCGGGAGCGCGAGGGGCCTGGCGCGGCGGGTGACGGTGCCGTTGGGGTCAGCATTGTTTCAGGCGGGGTCGGCGTCGGCGTCGGCGGCGGTGGATGTGCCTCGGGCTGGCGCCGGTCCATGAGGGCGTCAACGGCGCGCAGGATGGCGTCCGTCTGCCAGTCATGCGGCCCTTGATATCGGGGGAGCGGGGTGGTCTTTGGTGTATCGTGGAGGCTGAGGACGGCGAGCAGATGGTCTTTGACAGAATGGGTCCGCGACAAGCGTACCCATCGTTGAGCAGTCGGTGTTGGTGGTGCCGCGTGGAGCAGTGAGTGACGTCATCAGGGCAATCACCAACAACTCTTATCCCACTTCGAGAACTCTTTGCTAGTGGCCGCCACGCACGTCGTGTTCACCTCCCCGCAAAGCTTGCTCAGCGTCCTTATTCACACCGAAAGCCAAATTCTCGCGGCTCCAACGCGGCTCCGTCCGGCGCTCTTATCTGCCTTCATCTTGCGCCGGCCCGCTGCCATGTTCAGGGTCAACCAGCCAACCTTCAACAACGTCCAGTGCTCCACATCCGAGCGGAACTAGGGATGCCGTAACACAGTCTATATTTCACCGGGCGTCTACGTCGGAATAGCCTCCGCATACACCCACGGGTGACGGCGCCGCCTCCGCTCGGTCGTATCGTTCAAATAAGTCTCGTTTCCATCAGAACTTGTGGTATTCGTACGCCACATTCCCGCTTCATTTGCAGCACGTACCCAATCGAAGAGTTGAAGAGCCACGCTGCGCCGCCACCGACTCACCTTGAGTGATTTTCGCCTTGCTGGCTTCTGTTCCGGTTGAACCCTCAGCCACGCGACGAACCGTACTGTTCTGCCTCCATTAATATTGTTTGCTCGAGTTCGCCGCTGGAGTCAGCTGACAATGACGCCAACGCTGCGTTCGCGCGTGGCATCGGTTGCGCGCGCAAGGACAAGTGCTGTTGAAGAAATGATAGTGCAGAAGTTGGAGGTAAAGTGGATAGATTCCGAATGTCTGTAGGTACAACGAAATCATCCCGTATTTATACTCCTAGAACAATGGGCACTAAGAACAATGTTGAGTTTCCTCAACAATGGTAACTAGCGCATAGCATTGGTTGAACAATGGTTGCCATATTAAATGGCTGTGTCGAGACCAGCTCGAGACACGTAGATGCCACGCATACGCCACGCACTCGATGTTTGTCCAATCCCAACAAGTGCCCTGTGCACCCACTGGACTATCGGCATTCACTCCGCTGCCTGGAACATTCAGGGCCAGACTTGTACTCATCTTGGCCTCGATAGCTCAAACTGGCGCGTACGCTTCAAGTAAGGGTCTCCATGAACGCAACGTACGTGGCGTTGAATCGCTGGATAATAGATATTGCGGCCTGGCATACGTCTCGCTTGATTCCTCAGTTTCTGGCCTCTCATCGCTTGCTTTTATCGTAACTCGCTTCGTCGTCCACCTCACAGCGCATCTCACAAAGCTCTTGCCACCCGGTAGCACACGGCGTGCATCTGTCATCCTTGAAGACATTCCATGCAAACGTACGCAGAAGGCCCCCGTTCGATTCGGGGCCGGGTGATAGTCAAGTCGTTAAAAGCTTTTTTATTGCTTTCCTTCTCGCAGTCTTCGCGCGCCGCCTGTCCTGCCAATTTCACATCACAGGATTTTCGTGCATTCGGTTGGGTCACCTTTTTAGGGGGTTGGATTGCTGCACCAAATCTTGCCATGGTTATTGCTGTCGAGTTCCCTCTCTCCGTCTTTACGGGCAGCCTCGTCCAATTTTTGTCCATCTCATAGGGCAGTTTACAAGGGGGGGAACACGCGGTAGCACATGGTGTGCATCTGCCATCCTTCAATATGTTTCAGATCAACGTACGCAGAAGGTCCCCGTTCGATCCGGGGCCGGGTGATGTGCGAGAATCCATGTTCGTTTTTTAATTTATTTTCCTCGCTCAGTCTTTATGGAGCCTCACGCAATTTTTGTCTATCTCATTGAGCATTTAACAAGGCTAGAAACACCCGGTAGCACGCGGCGTGCGTCTGCCATCCTTTAGAATTTTGTCAATTCGATTGTATGCAGAAGGTCCCCGTTCGACTCGGGGTTGGGCGATGTTCGTCGGCCAATGTTCGCCTTTTTCATTCCCGCTCTCAGTCGCATAATTCCCCTCGAGTCTGAAGCTTTGCCGCAGATGCAGAATATCGTCGTCCTCCCTGAACAAAATAACTTGGTATCCGACTGAGAAACCAGGGCAATTCAATTCAGGTTTCGTTCAACCTTCCCAAAACTCGCTCATATATTCACCCACCGCAGGTGGGTAGGAACACCCGGTAGCACACGGCGTGCATCTGCTGTTTTTAGTGTTATACTATATTCATTATCCAGGATCCTGCAGAAGGCCCTCGTTCGATTCGGGGTCGGGTGATGACATGTCATGGTATAAGATCTTTTTATTCCTGTCGTTCTCTGTCTCATCCCAGCGTCGAGCAATGACTTTCCCCAGATGCAACAGCTCGCAGCAACTTGAGCCAAATCACTATCTAACCATCTGGAGGAACCGAGAAAATCAGGTTCGTTCAACTCGGGCCTGGTTCAACCTTCCCGAAACTCAGCTATGTGTTTGTCCAATGCAGAAGGGCAGAAACACCCGGTAGCACACGGCGTGCATCTGCCATCCTTGAAGGAGTTCCGAGCAAACATACGCAGAAGGTCCCCGTTCGATCCGGGGCCGGGTGATGTCCCTGGACAATGTATGTTTTTTAATTTATTTTTCTCGCTCAGTCTTTGCGCAGCCTCGCCCAATTTCACTCATTTAACAGGGCAGTTTGTAGGGGTAGGAACACCCGGTAGCACACGGCGTGCATCTGCCATCTTTGAAAAGGGCCGCTCGCCACTGCATGCAGAAGGCCCCCGTTCGATTCGGGGTTGGGTGATGACATGGTATGAGATCTTTTTATTCCTGTCGTTCTCTGTCTCACCCGCAGCATCGAGCAATGACGTTCCCCAGACGCAACAGCTCTCAGCAACTTGAGCAAAATAACTACCCATCTGACTGAGAACATTACAGGTCAGTTCAATTTCAATTCTGGTTGACCACTCCTCAAAACTCATCCATATATTCACCCACCGCAGGGGGATAGGAACACCCGGTAGCACATGGTGTGCATCTGCCTTCTTTAAAGAGGGTCCACCGCCGCTGCATGCAGAAGGCCCCCGTTCGATCCGGGGTCGGGTGATATCCCTGGACAATGTATCTTTTTTAATTTTAATTTCTCGCTCAGTCTTTACGGAGGCTCACACAAATTTTTGCCTATTTGAGCAGGGACGCTTAGAGAGGGAGAAGCACCCTGTAGCATACGGTATGCATCTTTAAAACATGTTCAAGGCAAAGTGCGCAGAACGCCCCCGTTCGATCCGGGGCCAGGTGATGTTCGTTGGCCAAGATTCACCTTTTTTATTTATTTATTTCGTTCCCGCTCTCAGTCGCAAATTTTCCAGCCCCGAGTACCATCTTTTCACAGATGTCACCTTATACTCCCGTTCCACAGAAATATTAGTCACGTAAGTTATCTGGGCAGCAAGACCAAATCAGGTCAGTGCAGTTCAATTCTGGTTTAACACTCTTCAAAACCTATCCATGTATTCACCCACTGCAGGTGGGTAGGAACACCTGGTAGCACATGGCATGTATCTGCCGTCTTTCCCAATCCAAGCGAAGTACGCAGAAGGTCCCCGTTCGATTCGGGGTCGGGTGATCAAACTTCAGCCGTAAGATCCTTTCTGTTCCTTTCGTTCTCTCAGTCTCGCCCGCAGCGTCGAGCAATTACTTTCCCCAGATGCAACAGCTCGCAAAAACTTGAGCCAAATCACTATCTAACCGTCTTTAGGGCAGTTCAATTCAGGTCTCGTTCAACCTTCCCGAAACTCAGCTACGTATTTGTCCAATGCAGGTGGGTAGGAACACCCGGTAGCACATGGGGTGCATCTGCTATTTGTATCCAATAGTTTTCGTATGCAGAAGGCCCCGTTCGATCCAGGGTCGGGTGATGAACGGGTTCGTTTTTTAATTTATTTTTCTCACCCAGTCTTTGCGCGGGTTTGGGATGCGGAGAGACAGCTCTAAAATCAATAAAACGTCCTCCCGAGGGCCTCAAGGACTGCCAACAAAAGTATGGGCACTGTAGCCCATTATCGAGGGACGACAAACTGTGAAATCCTCGTGCAACAGAGATCTGGTCTGGCTGTGTGCTCTGTACTGCAGTGGCCGAGTAGGATGTCTCTATGTGTACTGTCCACTGTTATAAAGAGATGCGCCTCCTCATATCTGCCCTAGACATAGCCATTCGGCGACGGGCGACAGCCCAATCTAAGCACCAACGGTGACTCTTGAACAATGGGAGCTCCAATGGGGAAGATTTCGATGTACCAATCTTGTATATCTGACGTGAGGAGTCATCTGTGGTGTCTTAAATTCGAGAGTCGTAAGTAGGGTCATGTTGAAAGTCGACTCTCGATGAGGTACACTCGAATTCTCGACATCCACAGTATTAATGTTATCGGCTATAATCAAGCATATCAGTAGGCCAACTTATATTCAAGGTCGTCCGAGAGGAAGAGCACTAGTCAACCGATACCACTAAAACTCCGCTCTCAGGCTTGGGGATTACCGTAGTCAGTTTGAGCAAGCCAGTCGACGTAAGAAAGTGGGCTAAGACAAAAGGATAAAGAACATAAACCTGAATGTTCCCAGCCCCATCCATGGTAGACATACATATCCCATGAGGAGAATCCGGTAGGACGGCTGTTGTATTGTGGCCGGCTTGGCGGCTCACAGCTGTGGGGTCGTGTGCGCGCCGCTGGATATTACATGAAGCACCAGGGAATTGAGATGTGCTATAGATAATAGCATACGATGATTCGGACACCCAGGTGGACCATCATCGCGCCTGTACGCGAGAGTTGCAGCGTGGCTGGCCGAACGCCGGCCTCCACAGGAATAGGAAGCGTCCGAGGCTGCCGGATCCCTACGTCTGTCAGCTCGTAGACCACAGGCTTACCCGCGACGCCCCAAGAAAGGCCGTATTGGTGCCTAATCACGAACCAGCCGATGAATTCCTGATGACGAAAGAAGGATTTGGACTGCGGGCCTACGGCCGGTGACAATGGCCGGACGGTAAGGCGGCACCGGAATATGTTGGTGGTATACCTGGATGGTGTTGGCGTGTTTGTGAGTCGATTTCGTATGCGTCTGGCGAGCGACGGCCGGCGGGAGAAGGCCGTCGTCTTCACTACGAGCTCATAGCTCTCGTTGTGGACCGGGCTTTCAGAGATAAATAACAATGTCATGATAGGCTTGCTAGGCATGTCAATGCTCAGGATGTTGATGGGAATATGAGAAATTTCTGGAGGATCCGTGGGTTCATCGAGGGTGAACTCGTTGAGTCGGCGCCACAGGTGGTCGAAAGACACCGTAGAGTAAATGCGGACATGAACCGGGGTGGACGAGTTGCAGTAGGTTAATGCGATGTGTCCTGGGAATAACTCAAAGTCCTTCGGCGGATTATTGAGTAAGACGACCCCTGGAATGTGCCATGATTCGTACCTGCAGATTTGTCGAGTTGAAGAGGATAAGTTCTGCCATGCGCCAATTCACCAGGAGGACATATCCAGGCCAAGGTCGAGGCCACTGATGAAGATGTACGCGACAGACGAAGAAATCATCGGAAATCTTTACACGCCGCGCGCAAACTGGGAGGTCCAAGAGCTCGTGCGACTCGCCCGTTTTCAAGTCGGCCTCTACGATGCTGAAGTGGTTCTGCACGCAACTATGGGAAAACGATGGCATCCAAACGGAGATGGAATTGTCAGAGCACCCACCTTTCGAGCGACACTACAGCCTCTGACCCACCTTGGCGGAAGTCAAATGTTGCATGTCTAACGGGGCGGCTCGGGGATGCCCAACCCCACACACGCCGTCCACTGTGCACCTCCCAGCATTCTACGCCGTCAGGGAACTCCCTGGTTGGCTTGTAGAACAGGATGTGCCTTCCTTCCGGCAGGAATTCGACATGAGATGATTCCCCTTGCAGGGTTTCTAATGAGATGCTGATCTCCCGGGATATCGCTGGCGGCGTTGGAAGGGCGGAAGACCATGTCAGGGGCCCAACTACCCCATGTTTAACCTGCTGTATTAACTCAGCAGTGGATAAATTCTCCAGATTTTCCTCTGCCGGTGGATCAATCAGCCAGCGCTCAGAGAGATCACGGACGACCGAGATCCAGAGTTGCTTCGCGGAGACAATGGCGCGAAGATACTTGTTCACCTATTGAGCGACCATGCGTCTTAGTGTTAGTCGACGCATTTGGTTTACAGGAACGCACTCGGGTGATGGAAATTATCGTGAAAACATCCAACAGCATGCATATATGCAAGAGGAGATCTGAATTCAGTGAATGGATGGGCATTTGGTGAGTAGATAGGATGCACGGCTCCGCGCACGAGAAAGGTTTTGGTCAAGCTGTCAGCTGAGGCGGTGCCCCAGCCCCATCAGTCACGGCACGCCAACATACTACATCACTGTGCCTCTGACTGCCAGCTTTCTCATGATCATCTCTCATTTCGATAGGCGTTCTGCATTTAGAGGTACCTCTTATTCTGGATTATACCGCAATTCCGCTACGTTGGCAGCTATATACTCAATCAGATCTAAAGCGCGTCCACATAGTCGACATACGCGGCCCGATGCCCGCACGCGGCGCACGTCCCCAGCGCCGCGGGCGTGTCGCACGCCGTGCGGTACGAGTCGGGCGTCCCCGGCGGGCTCCCATTCTCTCCGGCGCGGCGGGTGACGGTCCCGTTGCGGGCCAGCATTGTTGCAGGCGGAGTCGGCGTCGGCGTCGGCGGCGGTGGATGTGCCTCTGGCTGCCGCCTCGCCATGAGGGCGTCGACGGCGCGCAGGATGGCGTCCGTCTGCCAGTCGTGCGGGCCTTGATATCGGGGCAGCGGGGCGGTCTTCGGTGCATCGTGGAGGCTGAGGACGGCGAGCAGATGGTCTTTGAAGGGGTCCGCGACGAGCGTACCCATCCGTCGATGTTGTTGGTGGTGCCCGCGTGGAGCAATGACGTCATCAGGGCGATCACGGCAATTATCGACTTCGAGAACTCTGTTTCTGCTAGTAGTCGACGCGTGTTCACCTCCGCGTCCTTATTCACCCGAAAGCCAAATCCTCGCGGCTCCGTCCGGCGCTCTTATCTGTCTTCATCTTGCCTTCATCTTGTGCCGGCCTGGTGCCAGTTCAGGGTCAACCAGCCAACCTTCAACTCCGTCCAGTGCTCCACGACACATCCGAACGGAACTAGTGATGCCGTAACTCTGTCTATATTCCTCCGGCGCCTACGTCGAAATAGCCTCCGCTTTACACCCACGGCGCCGCCTCCGCTCGGACGCATTGCTCAACTACGTCTCTTTTCCATTAGAATTTGTGATTGCTTGCTGGTATTCATGCGCCACATTCCCGCTTCATTTGCAACACGGCGTACCATTCTCGAAGTCAACCACGCTGCGCCGCCACTTTTCCCACCTCAATGTTACGGTTGAACCCTCAGCCACGCGACAATCCGAGCCGCTCCGCCTCCATCATTAGCTCGAGTTCGCCGCTGGGAGTCAGCTGACGCCGACGAGCCTGTGGCGTTGCCCGCGCGCGCTGTGGTACGTAACGACAAGGGCGACGATCTTTCCCAGCGCTGCCCGCAATTCCATGGGGCAAGTCACAAATCCAGGCAAGTCTGCGCTCCTCGGCACGCGCCCTTCCAGTGCATGCATTACTCCATCCTTCACACCCGCCTCGCGGCCGAAAAGAACTTCCACGAGGCTGTCGCGAGCGCACGGTTGAACTGCGCGGGTATGCGTATGCTATTCCTTGACCCCTCGCTCAGCTGCGCTCTAACAAACCCACATCGTCGCCCATCTCACAGAGCACCTCACAAAGCTCATACCACCCGGTAGCACACGGCGTGCATCTGCCGTCGTTCTCTTGCGCTTTCGAGTAACGCAGAAGGCCCCCGTTCGATCCGGGGCCGGGTGATAGTCAAATCGTTAATAGCTTTTTTATTGCTTTCCTTCTCGCAGTCTTCGCGCGCCGCCTGTCCTGCCAATTTCACATCACAGGATTCTCTTGCATTGGGTTGGTTCGACTTTTTAGGCCCACCAAGTCTTGCCACGGTTATTACTGTCAAGTTCCCTCTCTCCGTCTTTGCGGGCAGCCTCGAGTAAATTTTGTCTCGTGTATGGACGAGGCTTATAGAGGTACTGACACCCGGTAGCACACGGCGTGCATCTGCCCTCTTTCGAAAGGTTCCAGATCAACGTACGCAGAAGGTCCCCGTTCGATCCGGGGCCGGGTGATGTGCGAGAATTCATGCTCGTTTTTTGATTTATTTTTCTCGCTCAGTCTTTACGGGGCCTCACGCAATCTCACCCATTTCATAGGGCAGTTTATAGAGGTATTGACACTCGGTAGCACATGGTGTGCATCTGCCGTCCTTGGGAATATACCAGACGGACACATACGCACAAGGCCCGTTCGATCCGGGGCCGGATGATGTACGAAAATCCGTGTTCGTTTGTTAATTTATTTTTTGTTCCCGCTCAGCCGCATAATTCCCAGCCCCGAGTACCATCTTTCCACAGGTGTAACACCTTATACTCCCGTTCCGCAAAAATACTAGTCACGTAAGTTGTCTGGGCAGCCAGACCAAATCAGGTCAGTGCAGTTCAAGTCTAGCTCAACACCCCTCGAAACTCACTGATATATTAACCCACTGAAAGTGGGTAGGAACACCCGGTAGCACATGGTGTGCATCTGCCGTCTTTAATGAAGTAACGAACTCAGAAGTCTGCAGAAGGTCCCCCGTTCAATCCGGGGCCGGGTGATAAAACATCTGGTACGACGTCTTTTTATTCCTTTCGTCCTCTAAGTTTCCTTTACCCGCAGCGTCGAGCACTGAGCGTCCCCAGCTCGCAGCAACTTGAGCCAAATCAATATGTAACCGTCTGGATGAGCCGAGAAAATCAGGGCAGTCCAAATTCACTTCTGGTTCAACACCCACGGAACTCAGCTACAGTATTTGGGGGGGTCCTTTACACACTGACACTCCTTTACACACTCGTGAATAACTTCTTCAATCTTCATCCAAATAATAAGCCATTTTAGGGGCATATACCTGCATACCTCCTACATGCCTGGTAAAAAGGGGAATTATTTTGGTTGAGTAGTTGCCGAGATCCAAAGATGTGTATATTGAAATGTCCCAATTTGGAATGATGGACTGTTTTGGCCTAGGATTTCCTTCGTATCTGGTATCAGTATCGGACTAATTCTTTTTTCTGACACACAGATGACCATCCTGGGAATTGTATGCCCGAGTCTGGTGGTGATTGGGGCCGAGGGAAGAGAGAAATAAATGTCACCGTGTGAGGGAGCACATGGGCGTGACATCATTTTTTCTTCCCCTTCTGATCGAGCTTTGCCGAGTCGCGTACACCCTCCAGATCATTCACACACCCAAACGCGTCATACTAAAGTGGAGAGGGAGCAGATTGAGGTTGCCTGGAAGGAGATCTGTGTGGCGCATGATGCTGCAGTTGAGAAGTGGGCGGGACGTTGTTTGGAGCTGAAAGCGGGCGGGGTACGGGCCAAGGACTTGCCTAAGAAGCCCAAGAGGCCACCCAAGCCAAAGCCGAAGGAGTCCGACGACGAGGGAGATGATAGTGGCGGCGGGGAGGGTAGTGACGACGATGGGTAACAGCATGTCACACGGTGTGTAAAGGACCGTATTCCGTGACCAAAGTGATCTCCGCGCGATTTCGACAATTATAATTCATTGGGTAATGCCATAGCCTCTACATTTTGTCTGAACACTCTAAAGACCATACGGAACAAGTCTACCAACTTTATTTCTTGAGAATCGGCCCAGGAGGGAATATATTCGAATATTACATTCTGCTGTGTAAAGGACCCCCCAAATACTGTATGTATTAACCCACTGCAGGCGAGTAGGAACACCCAGTAGCACACGGCGTGCATCTGCCGTCTTTCACAACCTCCGAGCGAAGTACGCAGAAGGTCCCCGTTCGATTCGGGGCCAGGTGATGGAACGAACACCTTCAAAGCCGTTTTTTTTAGGTTCCATTAAACTGGTTGCACTGATGCACTCGAGTCTTGAAATTATGTACACCACTTCAAGTTTCAAGTTTCAGCCTCTCGCAATTTCACTCATTTCATAGGGCAGTTTGAAGGGGTAGGATCACCCGGTAGCACATGGTGTGCATCTGCTGTTTGTATACAGTACGTATTCCTGTACCCGGGCAAGGTATGTCTTTTTTATTTATTGCTTCTTCCATTCAAAGCCCAGCATCGAGGACTCTATTTCCACGAATCGAATTACCCCCTCGTAGTCCGACTTCAGCAAAATAACTAAGCATCTAGAGGGGCAACAAGAAAAATTGTGAATATCAGCTGAGTTCATTTTTCAGGTCTTGTTTAACACTCCTCAAAACTCGCCGGTATATTCACCGAGGGCAGAGGAGGGATAACGCCCAGTAGCACACGGTGTGCATCTGCCCTGTTTAAAATCCGTATTGAACTCTACACCGTGCAGGCGGTCCCCGTTCAATCCGGGGCCGGGCGATGGTTTCTTTGGTGTTGTCCTTTTTTTTCAGCCTTTCCGTCTCTCATTCTTTCCTCGAGTAATTTTGGCTTGTGTATGGACGAGGTTTGTAAGAGTAGAAACACCCGGTAGCACACGGCGTGCATCTGCCATCTTTAAACATGTTCAAGGCAAAGTGCGCAGAAGGTCCCCCCGTTCGATCCGGGGTCGGGTGATGAAGGTCTCCTTCGGGTTATTTTTATTTATTTATTTCTTCCCTCTCAGGCTCCACGTTCACTCTGGCCCGTCAACGTCTTCAAGGATTTTACAAGTGGATTGAGTTTTTGGGAGGAGTTGTGGAATCAGCCACCAAGTCTTCCATTTTTATTGCTTGTCGTATGTCTTCAGACCTGGTTTCTTAAGTCGGAACCAGGAATATAAACCCGCGCTTCTGTCTAACAGAGTGCATCTGGAGCGCACTGTTGATCTCGGCCAGTCGCTGCAGTTGATATAATAGCCCCATTTCCATGAAAACTCGCTGCACCATGCTCAGTACAAGATTTGGACTGAATGAGTGCAATGACCAAATTATACATGAACGAGGCGAGTCGAGAAAGTATAAATGGGGTCAGTCGCCCCGAGGTCATGGCAGAATTACCCCATTGCGGCTCGCTGGTGCCAAGCAATCCGGACGCTTATTCAGTCCGATACACAGAGGAACATCCCAAGAGCTGCTCGGAAAAAACCCCATTAAAACGTATACACTGTCATTCGGTTAGCCGCTTCCGCGTTCTACACACAATGTATAAACATCAGCTCAGGCCTCCGATAGACAAAGAGCACCCACCGAATTATTTATCCCGATGAGGTGGTCCTGGTCGATCAGGAAGAGATCGTACTCCGTGCCCAGGCGGCACACTGTGCGCCGGTACGGCAGCGAGGTGGTCACGTCGTCCGCAAACACATCGGGCGCCTCAAACACCGCGGAGTCCAAGTGCACTTCGCTCGTAACGTGGGCCGCTGCGGTGTGTGAGTCACGCCGGTCTCTCAGGCTACCGATGCCAAAGTCGAGGATCTCAACAAAGTGGCGGTCCGCGCAGGGCAGCGCGACGCGCTCGCCGTGGACATGCCTACCAAGAGGGTAAGTGATAGAAAGCGCCCGACAGATTGGCGCAGACAGACCTCAGCCAGCGGTGGTCCTCCCCGGGGAGTATGCGCGTGCTCTGCGGGCCCCACTCGTGCCAGTTGACGACTCGCGGCGCGCTCGTCGGCGCCCGCTCATGCTCTTCGGCGTATTGCTGAAGTACCCGGTAGTGCACGAAGAGACGGGCCCATGCCCCCTCGTTGACGCCGATGAGGAGCATGCAGATGCGCGCCTCGTTCGACGCCGAGAATGGGGTGCCGGAGATCGCGCGCGCGCACAGAGGCCCGGTGTGAATTGTGATGGAGTCGATAAATCCGCCGGGGACGAGGTCGGGGAGCTGCAGGGTTGCGACGTGGACGGGCTGGATGCGAGCGTCCTTGGTGAAGGAGTGAATTGTGATGTAATCGGTGTGGAGGTCGGTAAGGACGTAGGAGCGAGAGGAGAGAAGGTCAAAGTCGAATACTGTGGGAGATAGCGATGAATCGTCCTGCCTTTGGGGTGAGAAGGCAATCAACGTTGGGCATGTTAACGCACCGTAATTATTACGCCCATCCGCCAGTTGAATATGAACAGTCGGAACACCTCGGGGAAGAACAGGGCGATGACATCGTCCGCGATTTGGATGGATAGTGCCATCAACGGATCGTGGGGGAGCGGGAACGTTACTACAGGGAGGGCCGCAAGCGGATGGGGCACCAACGCTGAAATGGTGCGGCATTCGAGATGCGCCACCTCGCCAGGCGTGTGCAGGATCGCAACTAGATCCTGGGTCGGATCGATTGCGAAATCCTGGAAGTCCACTGGATCTATCCCGAACGTAGACGTCGTCCACGCGCCGCCTGCAACTTGGACGGAAGGCAGCAGAGGCAGCGCGATGGTGCAAAAGTTCGGTCCGACCGTTTGCTGCGAAAAAAAGCCGGCCACAAGTTCGAATGCGCGGCAGGTGAGCAGGGACTCGATTTGAACGACATTCTGCGACGTCCACTCCATGTTTTGCCATGCGCGGCGGCGCACTTGGAGCGCACCCAGCGTCTCAGCGGGTGTCAATGTCCCTGGATTGCCGGGGAGCATGCCTTCTGCCCATAGTTCAATCATGTATTGCAGCTCGGGAGAACTGCTCACTGTGGCGTGCCACAGGCGACTGACCTGGGAAGAGAGTTGGTTAGCCAGCATTGTATACGTGGCGGTAAGAAAGGTCACAGAGGAACATAAAAGCAGGGTTTTGGCGTCGAGAAAAGCGAGAATTTCTGAGATGATTTCTGGGGGAATGTCGGCCATGGTGAGTCCATCCATTGGATAGGATGCCTTGCGAATGTCAATGAGAAGACTCAGAAGAGACAAAGAAGTGATGAGATGATGGTGAAGCCGTGATGGTATCACTCGGCACTCCGACCGGATCAGCGACTGATTGTTTAAACAACAACAAGATAAGCCTTCGTTACGCCCCGGCACTGAAGCTCCGGGTTTCCCGAGAAATCTGTATTATGTAGTGTCTAATGTAAACCTAACGGAATGCGCGTGTGGAAACTCTGGTGCAAATGCACTCTCCCAAGATAGCGGATGACCTCCGTATCCGGACAGAATAGGTCGACGTTCCAAACAAAATGTGCGAGGCCCTAAACAGGATCTGTCAGTGGACGATTGAATCCATGTAAAGGATGAAGAACAGTCTGATCATTAAGTTGTACCAGACAAAATGGCCAACCAAAGACCTCGACTAGATGAAAGACTGGCCATCGCATCACTTCTTCCAGAGAGAATTAATGGAGATTTATTGTCCAGAACGACCTACATACGTTCAGCCAGAATGAATGGACCCTTAAAGCGTAATATTTGAGAAACACTCGACGCGCTCCGGGGATGAGGACCCACTTCCCGGTTGAGATATCAAGCTTGCAGTGGCCGAATTGCTAAGTGATGTACACGAAAATAAGTTCTATTGGTGTTCAGGTGAGTTATGGACGATAGAGGCTCGAGACCTACACGAGACGATCTTGCGAAAGCAGCAGAAAACATGAGCAGCATCAGGAGCGCCTAGGCCACCGGCATCGGAAAGCAGAGACTCACACTGATTGCGGATCAGCTGGAAGACGCGAGCATGGACGCATAGCAGAAGAAAGTCGTTTACCGCTTGGTGAAGA